TCGCCAGGTCTTCCTTGGACTTGACCCACCACATGCTCATCCTCAATCTCTCGCCACATTTGCAAGATTGAGGAAGATCGGGTGCTTCCACTCCCTCCATCTTCTCGCCTCCTAGGGGATTGAGAGTGGGAATCCCTAAGAAAAGAAGAGTCAAGCACAGACAGATTATGTAGTCCAGCAATAGCCATTTCTAATTTACCCTTTTAATGAGTACACAGATCTTTTCAACCCATTAGAGGCCAGTGCACTAAAATTCGCATAGTTAGGATGGGCAGAATCAAAGGAGTCCTTCTAGAAACTGCTCGCTTCATATCTGCGAGGATTTGACCCCACTGCATTTGCCATCAAAATCTCAGTGCTAGCTATCACCCTTATGAATCTCAGCCCCATCATCAAGAAAGGAATTACGAAAATTGGACTACCCAATGGAAGGAGCTAAAGCCACCTAAACCTCAGCCTGCAAAAGAAAGAGTAAATTACATCAACATTTTTAATTAAAAAAACAGATATATTTGAAATCATAAAGTGACTTACGAGAAGTCATCGAATTCCTACACCATAACAGAAACTCGCCAAACAGTAAGATTGAAATCAACAGACTCAATAAACGGCAGACTATATTATTCGATCCTTAGCGCCGTCTAAGAATTTGTCATGAAATCGGACCTCAGATTCTCATTTTGGTAAAACTCATACTCGATAAGCTCAGGAGAACTGAACAAAACACAGATATTGGACCCTCTGCATTGAAGGAGCTGGAGTTCTTTAGTTCGTCCCCAGAACAATGAATTTGAAAATTCATTTCTCACCATTTTTTCTCACCTTTCTCAAAAGCCAGCCAGAGAGAAGACAATGGAAACCAAGCGGAATTCAAATCGGGATACTGACTATTCAATTTTCCAATAGAAAAAGGTAATGGAAAACATATCAGAATCCACAATCAGCCATAGAACCAGAAACAGATGACTTAAGCATTCGATCCAATAAACATTGAAGCAGAAACACGTACCAGTAAAGTTCTGCTTTTGATTTTAAAGTGGAGGAAACGAAACCCTAGCTGTGAAGAAATTCTCAGAGAGAGAGAGAGAGAGAGATGACAACGTAAATGGAAGCATGAGAGGGAGAGAAGGAAAGAGGAAGAGCGCCGATTAACAAATAAAATAAATAAATGGGGACATTGTCATTTGGTATCTGACTTTCCAAAGAAACCGCCGTAACACTAACGTCTAAATTTTCGCGATCGGTTATCATTTAATGACACGTGGCGGTTATCCTTTCTTTTCTTTTGCTTACGGGGCAGTAATGACGAAATTTCCTAATCTTCAATTCAACGTGAAGTTTGCTGTTAGTCACCAGCATTCAACGCAGTCGTACATTCGGAGCCCATTTTTTCCCCAACTACACAGTACCGTTGAAATTGGATCTGCAACTGCAAAATGTATAATTCTTAGATACTTTTAAAAATGTTATGTTAAGAGTTGGCTCTAATGAATCAGGCTAGTCCTCACAACATGACAAATCAAAGTTTGAATCCCTATTAGAAAAAGTGTCTCCATTTAGTACCCGGCATTATTTTGAATAAGATTGTTTCCAATAGAAAAATACATATGCTTTAGTAAAAAAAATGTTATGTTATTTATACTTTATACTAAAAAAATACAAATAAAATGAAACCCCAACACAATAAGAAGCATATGAAGCAGTCGGTTTAGGAGTAGAAAGTAGATGCATGGGATGTATACCGTCATAGGTAACTTTTCCTGATTTGTTAGTTATTGAGCCAGAAAAATTAACTAACACGTAAAATGAGTTCAGTCGATCTTTATTGACTTTTAAATTTTGAGGAAAGCTAGCGGGAGAGTTGGGATGAAAAGCAGAACTAAGTCCTCATCAAAACAGAGGAATAAAGATGTTGCCAATGATGATGAAGAGAGAACAAATTCATGGTTCTGGAGATTAGGCTGGTTATTAAATGGCTGTAATCATGGGGTCATTCTTAGGATAATCTCATCCGATGCAACATCGACTTTTGGCTTTTCCTTCTTTTGTATTGACAAGAATAAACATAAGAATAACCAAAAAAGGGAGGCAAGGCAACTAATTAATCATCGTGGAGTACTTGAGAACCTGTAAAATTGATGTCCTGATCACCCTCTTAAATACCACTTTAAAGTTGGTGTGACCTGTGACTAATTTAAGTAAACCTACATAGAAAGTATAGTCATCATGAAGTTCCCAAAAGCTCGCCTCCTCCACATTCCCCATTTTTTGCATTCATATAACTCGCTTTAGACTGTTTCGTGTAGTTTGCTTCGTTGCATTTTAGTTCCTCAAATCAACGGATAAAGGGTACAGATTTTGGTTCATGAGCTCCAGTCTTAATTAGCTAGTTGCAGAGTTTTAAAAGGAAAAGAAGTTATAAAGATACCCACCCATAAATATGTCTTCCTAAAGCTACTCAAACCTAATCATCAGCTTGCTTTATTTTAACAAACATATTAACTTTATGACTTTATCTCGTGAATTTCAGTGTTCTTGGAACCAAAGCAACCCCCAAATTCAAATCCTGTTTGGCTCAATTTTTATAGCCCCATCACCAAACTTCCCCTGAGACTCCTCTTCTGCTTTTCTTCTTTCTTTTTTAAATCACATCCTCCCTACTCTGCTTCGGCTCTGTTTTATTAATAGACTGCTGGAAGAGAAAAGGAAGAAACTTTAAATTCTATCATCGTGTTTCTTGGCCCATAATCCGCGTAGAATGAAAAGCTCAACGAACGAGTTGACTTGGCGACAACTTCAGCGCAACTAATATAATTGAGTTTACAGGGCTCATTAATTTCCATAATCCACTGACGGGGTTGGTGATGGCAATTGAAGAACGAAGCTATCAACTTGGATGAATACAAAGTTGTCATCAGGCACCAAACTTGTACGTACACGGATCCGGAAATTCCAAGGGAGAGGGCTTCCTGAAGCTCGTACCAAGGGCAAGTGATACAGTATGTGTGTGCAATATGGTCCCGTGTTTGAGTCGAATCTATTTTACACTTACTGTCAGCTGAGAGTGGCATATTTGCGAACACGTTGCATGCACATCCCGAAAGGTGCGGAAATAGTCATGTTCTTCTGTCTCACTCCCCTTGAAACAAATCCCCATTATCGCGCTATAGTTTCCGTGGCTTTCTTTTAGTTCTGAAACAATGCAAGAGTTTCTGTAGCCCATCGAGAGTTTGTTTAACTGCTCACAATATTATATTACTCATACTCTATATTACGGATCACTTCATGGAATAATGCAGGATTGGCATATTTTTAACCAAAAAAATGCAGGGGAATTAATGAGTGTTCGTATAATATATGCATAGAAAAAGTAAAGGGTGGTGGCCATGGGGAATAATAAATGGTTGCGCCAAAAGGCTGGTGGAGAAGCTAAAGGAGGAAAAGGAGAGATGAGAATTAAGAAGTGAGGTGAGAGACTAAAGATAGAGAAAATGAAACGAGGAGAATGAGTGGGGAGGTGCGTTAAATGGGTTAGGTGTTGCTTTTCAATTTGCCTCACAATTTATCTCTGAGAAGCTGCTTTCTGCATTCAGGTGTCCTCCATCGGACCTTTCAGCAATCTCAATGTTTCACACACGCAATTAGGAAACTTCTACTTTCCACTAGGTTCTATATCCACACATCTCACCTATATTCAAGTATGTTTAATATATTCATTGCTCTGCAGAAATGTATTGGCACGTATATCAGCAACCGTCACATGACGAAAAATATTTAAGCTGCATTAATTGAATAATAAATGTTGTGTGTTTGTTAATACTGATCGTTATTATCATTTTTTTGGTTTAGCTAATAATGAATGGTTGATTTGCTGAACAGAGTTGAAAGCTAAGTAAAGTGTTTGCTCATGAATTCTCAGCAAGACAGTAGAATCGTCTCATGGCAAAGTCTGCTAAATATCAATTGGATCTAACCCAATAGATCTAGATTTGATTTAACAATTTCGGCCAAAGAATAAAGGGTCTGATTGAACAAGAAGTCGACTAATGAAACAGTATCTGTACTCCTTGAGAGTATCAAATTCCACATCTTTTGCACACGGTATGGCCCGCGTGTTAAGCAACGTAGTGGTCCATATGGACCATGGCCAACTATCATCAATTGCCACTTTCTTTGCCAGAACACCCAAAAAAGGAAGAAAAAACTGGTAATAGTAAGCGCAACAAGATGTTACAGCCCATGTTCTTCTCTGCAACTTGATCATGCATGGGAATGTTGTATTTAAAATGCATGCAGAGATCTGAGAAAAGAATGCTCAGGGAGGCACAAAATCCTAGTTTTGGCTGTCCAATAGGAGTGGAATTTCAAGTTTCAAAGGTGGTGAGAGTAGGAAAACGAGAAGCGATATATTTTTCTAATTTTACAGCTGCCTAAGGAAGGGGAAAAGCAGTAAGTTTTAGACGAAACAATATTGTCAATATGGTTGGGAACAACGAGAGGGAGGAATAAACATTGCAAGGAGATGCCAAAGAGTCATTTTCATCCTTTGAATATTAGTTTTTGCTTTACTTGCCAACGATCGATCGATGCTTCTTTCCTTTCGGCATTACTTGAAAGCTTGGTAAAATCGAAAGGGATTTAGGTGCCACGAACTGCCAACTACCAGCTATACTGCACCAATGCACTTCCCACAAGCCACCCTAAATTAAATGGCATTATTAAATGTTTGTTTCAAACATTTATTGACTTTCGACTCTTGTGATTTAGATTTCGATAAGACACCATATGCATATCACGTCATCATAAATGGACTTTCATCTACAACGATGTTACATTCTTGCAGTGCATTTTCATTAAAAAGCCCAAAACACGTAAAAGGCTTCCATCTGCACATTTGGGTTTAGCCAGTGACCAGTTCTGTTACAAGCATCAATCGGCCCAAACAACAAATAAAAATCCAAATCCGCATAAACAAGACAAATTGAATATGAAGATAAAAACAATTCACAAGATCAACTCTTATACAACAGGACAATGGCGAGAGTCAGAAAGGCAAAACAGCATATTATAAACCCAGAAATGTCCAAACCAAGAGAGACCGACGTGCCCAGTTGGCAACTACACGCACAGAGGGTCCAGAAGGCTTGCTTAGAGTTCTACACCGCAGAGGGTCCTCTCGAAATTCTTGGACTTAGAAAAATGGACCAACACAGGTGAACAGAAGATTTTCATGGTACGATCATTTGACTTCCACAGCCCTACCTTGAACCGAATCCTCGCCTTAATCCATACGTCTAGTTCAATATCCCCTGAACTTCTCTCCAGCTTAAGGTCTTTAGGCAAAGACCCATACAAGGCCACGGTTTTAGCAGTGAGGCTCACTTTCAGGTTAGTCACATTTCTGTGACGTTGAATGAATGGCTGAACTGCATTTGTGGCCAGTGTCTGGTCCTCGTACACCACAGCCACCTCCATGGTGTCATAGTAAATGGAGACCCTGGAGTTGGGATTGTACGCTCTTATGTTAAAATCGAAGTTGGCGTAGAGGTGATTAGCATCTGTTAGGTTGAAATTGTGGATTGAAGCATCCTCCACACTGTACATAAAGCGTTTTGGCTTCACAACCAGCCAGATAATGAGCACCACTATACCTGCCAGCACTATCAGTGCCAAAATGGCTACGGCGATATAACGAAGCAGGCCTGGTCGTCTTGGTCTGGCTGCTGCTTGATCCTGTGATTGTGGAAGGGCCATTTCAAAAGGCTGCTTCTGGTCTGGGGGTAAGAATTCAGGGAAAGGAATGTTTGGAAGAGGAAGTAAGCGAGATGTGCATATATTGGGGTGAATTAATGCAGGACAGCATCTGGGATTCTGCACTACTTTGACCAATTTTTAATAGGACACTTTTTCTCTTTTAGAATTTCGTGCATGAAACTCAAGACATCTAGGGATTCAGGTCATAGGATTGTTCTTTCCTTCAATGTTACAGAATGCAAATCAATATTGCGACCCTAACAGCTGTTGTCGGCAATAAAGTGAAAAGCAGCGTTCAGGGCCAGCTTATTATAGTTTTTGAGACTTTAGTATTATAACTTTATGGATTGCACGAATATATTGGCTCAAACTTTAAAATTAGACAGAAGGGAAGATGACTGTTCCTTCATGAGAGAATTCCAGGAACAACGTATTATTATACTCTTCCGGTTCTTAATATAGGATCTAATTGTTGAGTTGGTTTTGGTCCTAAATATAAAACCCATTTTTCATATTTATCAATTTTCTCTAAATTACCTCTATAGATATTCTCTCAACCATAATCAAGTAGAAAAGGAAGACGAGTATTAAGAAATATGATTATGGTGTTTTAGGAAAAATATGTTACATTTCTTATAATTAATTAACTTACCTAACTTCCTTAATCTAATCAAATTAGTTAAATAAATCTTATATTAAGGATCGAAAAATTAGTTTATTGAATTATGCATGGATTTTGTTAAAAAAGAAAGAAAGAATCATGCATGGGTTAGCTAGATTTATCCCAAAGGTATTCCAGGAACCTCTTCATAAGCCGATGCGTTACTTGCTTCCTCAGGTTGAGCAGAGCACCATATGATATGCAGTAATTCTCAAATTTTAATTTGGCCTGCGTTTCTCAGTTTTGCGTACAGAACTCGTGAAGAATGGAAGAGAATGTGGACAAAAATCTCAAAATTGAAGGGACCCCCCCCTATTTCACGATTAAACTGGTTACTCAAATGAGTATGAACACGGAATTGAAATGGAAATGAAGTTCCAAACTTTTATTCATGTGCACGATGATTCTTTCTTTGCGTCCAAGTTATTCCATTTCTAAGTTTTCAACCTTTAGTTGGTGTCATTTTCGCAACACGTATGTGGAAAATAGCTTCCCCGAAAGGAACAGGCCAAGTTCATCAAGTTGAAGATCTAGCTAGAAATGGCTAGAGATTTGAATTACATGGCCTAAAGATTCAATTCGGACTCCGCCCAGTGCATATGTTAGGTCGCGAATCACGCTCATGGACATCTGATAAGCCCAGACTGTATCAGATAAGTCCAAAACAAACCCCATATTAGGTGTCTATACCTTTATCAAGTATCTGCCTCTGCGTACTCATTCCTTCATTACTTGGTGATTTCAACATGACAAGCCAACCTCGAATTCTCTGCCCAATTCTTTGACGCCATCATCTATGACTACAAACCAAACTATAGTTTTAAAAGTGTTTTATCTCGTTTTACGAAAAAATACTTATGAGAAATATTTTTGAGGGTTGCTAAACACCTCCTGTATCAGAACGTGGGGTGAACCTTCTTATTAAACCACCCATTCTCCTTCTTAATGAAGAATAACTACAGTGAAAGACCGCCGCTTTAGTTCATTTTAAAAATGAATAGATGAAGGAAAGCAAGATGACTTTGTAACCTCCTAATGCCCAGAAATTAATCTGTTAATCAAACCACACGCGCTTTATTTAAACACCACAAATATGCAACTGGGGTTTATTAAACTTTAAGGTATTTATAAAATATGTCAGATCCAGTTCAAAAGAAAAAATATGTCGGAAAAACATATTTACATCCCAAAAGCAGACATTTCTTTTTCTGGAAGGGCGGTGAATGAAGAGACTGAAAGAGAGAGCGCGTGGGCCGAGGGAAAGGGTTGGTAATATTAGTAGTAAAGAAGGGGAAAAAGGTGATGATTGATGAATAGGAAAACAGGGGAAGTGAAATGAAAGGGATATAGAGGATGTGGAGCAAAGAAGGTGGTCGCCGCATATCCTTTGGAAGATACCGTTTCTGGTGTTACTTTCTTGAGAGAGAAGTCCACTCTTGCGACCCCCGCCCCCAATAAACCCTTTCTTCTCTCTCCCAACACTCACCTCTTTCGTCCCCTTCCCCTTCTTCAATGGTCACTTGAAGCTTCTTTCAATTCCTCTGCCTCCCACCATCTCCTCATCTGCATGGTGGGAGCTCCCTCTTCTTTCATTGTTTCTGAGAGACAATAATGGGGATGCTTCTCTCTGATCTCCTTCGTTTTCTCTCACAGGGCAATTTCAGTATCCTTTGGCATTTTACTTGAACCCTCTCTTCCTTTCCGCTTCCCCTTCAAGGTTCCCAGCTCACAACTTCTCTCTTTTCATCCACTTTGGCCTTTTCCCCCCTATGTACTTCTGCATGCAGTTGCATACTCAGAAGATAGCCTCAAGGCCACTATGTAACGATCTTGTCCTTTGTTTGCCTGTTTGGATTCCATGTACTATTGCTATATATATTCCAGAATAAAAGTCTCCAAAGAATTAACATGCATTTTAATTTTTTTGGGATATCACTGTACTTGTGTTGATATTGATAGGAATACACCACTTCACCTTATTTGCCAAATCCACGGCAGATATATATTATATTCACATTATTTTTTGGATGCCTTTTGGCTTGTGGTCTAGCATATATCTTCTCTGCTTTCTAGTGGTTAATAATTGGGTTTTAAATATTGGACCAATTTTTGCGGATTCAATATTCAAACCAAATCAGATATCTCCTGGCGAATCTAGTTCCTGGGAGCTCAACACTTGGTAGGCTGGCTTCATCGATAAAAGATAGAACAAAAACACCATAATCCTCCTCGGGTAGTGGTTCGGATTCCGAGCACCGGCCACATCCATTTCAACTTGAAACTACTCTGGTTTTTGGCCCCATTCAATGCTCCCACATGAACTAAATCTTGCCTCTCTTGCTGACTCTATATTGCACTTCAAAGTCAACTTTTTGGCAGGCCAGTCTTGTAATACAGACATATATTCCTGTTTTAAGACGTCTAACATTATTTTCCATGAATATAATACTAGAAACAATCTCTACAAAATACACTAGAATGAGCAGCACTGTGCCAACTGAGCAGGATCTCGAATTTTCCCTTGTCTAAAGATAGCAAAAGTTTGTAAAGGAATTAGATCTTGCTCTTCCACTATTTAGACTGGTGCTTGTGTCTCACTCTTTAGTAGGTACAAGTTTCGTCTGATACGAAGTTGCACACCTGTTAAGTTTACCGTATGACTTCAGATAAACATATTTCACCCACTTCATTTCCTGTCACACTTATATTTATCAGAAGGTAACAGGCTATTGAAGTAATTTGTGGAGTAGAGTTTAGATTCATGAGGATTGTTATGTCAAAACTGAAATAATTGAAGGGCTAATTCTGCATTTGTCGGTTGACATGGACAAGAAAGACAAAAGCATTGTTTTGGACAGCAATCGTATGGATGTGAGGAGAATCTATACTATTTACATTATAGTGTCATAAGAAGGAGGGGGAACAGTTGTGCGGACCGATTGGCAACGCTTAGTCTCGAACAAGATGAACAGTGGATCCGATGGTCTTCCCCCCAAAAGTACGCTGGAGAGAATTCTCAGAGAAGAAGCTACTGGGTCCACGTAGATCTCGCCTTGTTAGATTTAGTTTTATTTTATTAGTCTTGGGCTTAGGCCCCTTCTTTCACCCAAAAAAAAAAAGAAGAAGGGGGAACCTGCAGAGGACGGAATGTTAGGCCCCCATGCATGTTTTTCCTTCTTTAGTTCTCCACAACGTTGTGACCAGACATAGCTTAACACATCTACCCACACAGCACACGCTAGAGAGCTACAAGTTTCTGTTTTCTCATGTGTACAAAGGAAAAGGTGAAGAGAAGAAGCTCTCATGCTGCTTTCTGACAATGAAACCTTCTCAGACCTGGCTTCATGCTCTTCTATTGTTCAATGGAATGATCGATCCCAATGCTGTTCCCTGCCAGTTAATTCAGTTTCGGGCTACGATTTTGGTCTAACAAGCGATGCTTTATACATAATAAGCAAACCTTTTTTCTCCATTTGACATGTCCTGGTTTGTGAATGAGTTTTCCAATTTTTGGGTTTGGTTTCAAGTAGCATCAGGGGACAAGATTTTTGGGAGGATGTACTGTGCGCTAGCCATGGCCGAGATAAAAGATGAGGGAGAAATGATTTGCTTCGCTGACTAACGCCACAAAATTGTTTGAGCTGATATCTGATTTTGAATTATTTTGATTTCATTGTGGAGATTTTAGTGCGTTTTCTATCGGACACTTTAATATTTTTTTCCCCCGGATCAAGAACACAATTCTTCTCTTCTTTTTGGCCTAATGACATTAGAAAATTAGAATAGAAAAAGATAGAAAATATTTGTGAGACACTTGTGAAAAATTTGTTTACGTTTAAACTTTAAATCCACCTATTAATGGTCACGATGTTTTTCAATTAATTCTAATTTAAAGGCCATGCATCCCAGTCATAGATTTTTGCAAGTGACCCCTTAATTGGCTGTGAATTTTTTAGATACCTCCTTAGAAATACCATTTTGAATTTATAACTCTTAACATGAAAATTGCGATGAAGGGGTGCTTGCCCTTTTTTCAAAAAATCGAAATGAATTTCATTACACAAAAAACCTTTTCTGGGGGTACAGACAAAAAAAAAAACCTCGAGAGAACGTGAACATAGGCAAATACACTAGGAAGCCCAAGACAACCCTTCTTTATTTTTGCCGAAGCCCAGCATACTGCTGAACTCAACCCAACAGAATATTACCGTTGTGTTTGATGATCAGCTGCGGAGCGCGGCCTCCCTCAGTGTGTTGAATGTTCTCAAAGCGGGAATTCAAAATTTGAAACTCCAAATTTTAGCCGTTAATTTCTAATTGCTATTTTCTAGTAATTTCTTTTTCCAAAAAAAGCATCCACACAATATATATTAACCATCTGAACACATAGTCGTTCCTGTTAAGTTTTATTTTCTGACCTACTATTCCCTTTGCCTCCTCTTTTCATTAGAAGCCACCCCTCATTTCCAGTCTCATCGGTAATCGAGTTGATCTCCGTTTTCCCCTGAATTATTATCCATCTGCTTCTTTTCTGAGAATTTCGTAGTTAAATATTTTGCCTAAAAGATGTTTATATTTGCAGATTGAATCGGGAAACCCATTGACCTCGTGCCAGACTAAGCCTTCATAGCGAGAGATGGGTCAGATCCAGTACTCTGAGAAATACTTCGATGATACTTACGAGTACAGGTATCGATCTCCGTCACTGTCATCTTCTCTTCGCTATTCAATCGCGTTTCTTTTGGACACTTATCGAGTCATCAATTGGATATTTTATGTTGTTTAGGCATGTGGTCCTGCCTCCTGAAGTGGCCAAATTGCTTCCCAAGAATCGGCTTCTCTCCGAAGTAAGTATTTAGGGTTCGCTTTTTGCCTGTCAGTTCTTGCTTGAATTGCGTGTTTCCGATTCATAGGCAGCGTAATTTAGTGCGGAACAGTAGCGGTATCTGCATAGTGTTAACGTGTTTTTGGTTGTTAAGTTAATCTAAAGGGTTGACAACTGAGCCCTGCTTCGAAATAGAACCGAAATTAATGCTCAGCCCATTGGTAACTCCTGTGTCCTAACTATAATTATTGGCTAGTATTGCTGTTAAAGAAAGAAAGAATGGACCAATGTATGAAAGAGTTGAGAAACCCCTCCAACCAGGAAATAAGAAAAAGGTTAGTGAAAGAAAAATGGTTGGCCTGTTTGAACAGAATTGAATAAATGAATGTTCTTAGTTTATGTACAAGCAGTCAATGGCCTAACAATATGGGTTTCAAAGTCAGAAGACCGTTACCGCTGTTATAATTTTCGGTGTCAGTGATATTAAGAGTAATTTGTATGGCTATTGCCTTCTAAGTATTTGTAGTCAATGGCCTAACATATGGGTTTCAAAGTCAGAAGACCGTTACCGCTGTTATAATTTCGGTGTCAGTGATATTAAGAGTAATTTGTATGGCTATTTGCCTTCTAAGTATTTGTAGTCTAAGTATTTGCCTTCTAAGTATTGTAGTCTTTGATCTGTGATCTTCAACAACTGGAAACTAAGTGGTTGCAGGCTTAAATGATTTACATTGGTTTTATGACACAGAATGAGTGGCGTGCAATTGGGGTTCAACAGAGCCGCGGTTGGGTTCACTATGCAATTCATCGTCCTGAGCCACACATAATGCTTTTCAGGAGGCCCCTGAACTATCAGCAGCAGCAGGAAAATCAGGCCCAGCAAAACATGGTTGCCGCCAAGTGAATTCACTTTTGAGATGAAAATACGAATTAATTAAAGGTCGAAATTATGTAAGTTTCTTCCGGGTTATATGGATGCTATGGAACGATGTCTTATTACTGTTGTAAAATTCTCCTGCGTGGAGAATCTTGATATAGATCTCAGTTTACTTATTGGGTACATGTTGGTCTACCTCTAATGTGCTATTTGTTTGTCTTTCGTGGACTAATAGTCACTGGATGTTTTTTTAATGACTATCGGCCATCTTATTATTATTAGTGGTTTGTGTTGAATAGTTTCCTCGTATGACCCTCTTTTTCTTTTTTCTTTTTCCAGCTGAATTTTTTCTATTTGAATTGTTGGCTCGCGTAATTTTAACGAGAGAATTATGTTTAAGGATTAACATAAATAATTTTTTATTTTAAAGAACTATTAAGTATTAACTTCACAAGTTATGTAGCGAAACTCATTGTTTTACTTATAAATTTGTATTACTTAAATAGTAAATAATAAAGTGTTAAATATTTTTCGAATTATAAATTATTAATTTTTATTATATGAGTGATAAATATTTTTGGCAAAAAAATACAAATATTTATTGTTCATTATAAATGGTAAATTTGGGGGTGTTATAAATAATTAATTCATGAATTTGATTCTTGGGTATAATTTTTCTTTAACTACGATGTTTAAGTTTGCGCTTTATCTGAAGTGTTTTTTAATGATTGTATCCAAACATAAAAATATATATATTGAAAATAAATCAACGTGTTGTAAAAGAGAGAAAGGGAAAGAAATGAATCCTCATGAGAAAAAGGGAGAGGCAGGAGAGTGGGGGGCATCAGACGTACAAATATACAATTCCGAAAACGAATAAATAAGAAGAGGAAACCCAAACAAACATACCCAAGGATTGAAATCAGCCCACTAAATGTTTTTGGTATATCGCAAAACACCATCTTCCACGTTTGAGGCAGACTGCTTAACACCTAAACAACCTGAATTGCCACCAATGGACCCGCAACGCCTGAACCCAACAGTGGCAAGAGATTGATGTAGCTTGATGTATCAACTACCGCCTCTCTGGTTCGTAATTATAAAAACTAAATGATTAATTTAAGAAGATTAAAAAAAATTAAGTTAGTTATTTGTAACAAATTGATGTTATTTTTTTAAAAATATTTTTACTAATCAATTGTTTTGGTTATAACTATATTATTAGAAGAATTACTTTAGAAAAAATGCATAAATATAAAAGACAAAATAGATTTGGGTTTTATATTTAGAATCAACATAAAAATTAAACAAAGTCTTATATTAAGGATTGGATGTAATATTAATCTTTGTACCCAAAAAAAAAGGGATCAAATTTAATCTTATGAAAAAATAGATTTTACATGTTGTAAAAGAAAAGATTAAATTATTTAATTCTACATTTTAGTAATATTAATTCTTATAATTTTATTTTATTAGTATTTTTAGTTTTTATGTAAGGATTAGTGAAAAGAATTGATCATAAAAAAAAGTGAAAAGAATTGAAAATTGAAAAAAAGTATATATGGAAAATAGTTTTAAAACCAAAAAAGGGATTCTACAACAGTGGGCAATTCCCCACTTGGCCGGACCATTTTTCTTCGTCGACGTTACATTCGACAGTTGGTCGCGCTCACCGTCGGACGCCGTCCAACGTTGTCGGCCCTGCGTGTCTGTTGAGCTGTTCTCTGGCAAGTATCGGAGAGGTTTCAAACCCTAGGCTTTGTCTACTCTCAAAATCCGGTGAGGTTGAATTGTTAAATCTGGCTTTGAATCTAGATTTGAATTTGTCCCCGCGTAGTTGTCAACCATGTGTTGGACGCTCTCGCATCGTTTCTTGCTTTGTTTTAAATTTTTCATTTTAATTTGTCTATGCATGTGGTCTTTTAATCGTTTGAATTTTGAATAAAGATTGAGTTTTCAAAGTTTGATTAGTAGTTTTTGCTTCAATTGTGCGTAATCGGCTATTATACTCTTCATTCTGATTACTGGAAGCTTATATGCTTTGGATTGTTTTGTTGTGCTATGCCGGATTTCTTGTGTATTGGCATTCTGTTCATTATTATGCATGATCTGGTAAATGACTTGGCCCCGAGTTGTGTCTGGTACTTTATAAGCTTGACTTTAAATTGTCATTCTTCCGCGACTTGTAGGAGTTGCTTGAATTAATTGGCTTACTAAGGCATCTTCGTCAAAGCATTTGGAACAAAAGTTAGAAGGGTAATGCTGGATTTGTTGTTTTTTGGCACTCTGTTCGGCTATCCGTGCTGCTTCTTTGTACATTAAGTTTCAGTGAAATGCGCTTTCTGAATCCTTAAAAGCATCCAGGTCTAATTGAAACTGCCTCTCCTAGTTGTCCAGCCCTTGCTTTCATCAACGGCGCCTCCCTAACCAATTTCAACGGGATTGGATAGCCTTTTTGTATTGATGCCTGGGCTTACGTTATTTTCTTTTTTGGCCAGTGGGCTTACATTGTTTACTGTTTCATTGCATAGTTGCTGAAAATAGGTATACTAGCCTTCTCTGTCACATCTATTCCTTTCTAATAACATATCATGGTGGGATGAGGCTTACTGTTGTTGTTGTTCCCTGGTAAGATAATGTTGGTGAAGAAAATCCTGCACCTAGCATCCTATCATTCGCATGGATTTAGAAATCCTAAAGCATATGTGAAAAAGTTAGAAAGAGGGATGGCCCTAAAGCACACTTGGGGATCTTATTCCCCTTCAATAATGACTTGTGAGGTTATGCAATTGCCAAGTGCTATTCGATGTCTGTGTTGGCTTCATTTTGTGGAATTTTTTTTTTCTTTTCAATTTTCTTAGTTACTATTGTAATGTAATCTGGAACCCATCTGTCTTGTTTCTTACATTCTTTGCAAAGTTATCCCATGAAATATTTTACGCAATTTAACCCATGAAACATTTTGAGTTGGTTATGCAATTGCCAAGTGCTATTTGATGTCTGTGTTGGCTTCATTTTGTGGAATGTTTTTTTTTTTAATTTTCTTAGTTACTATTGTAATGTAATCTGGAGCCCATCTCTCTTGTTTCTTACATTCTTTCCAAAGTTATCCCATGAAATATTTTACGCAGTCTGAATCGCCTTCATACAGACTCTTGACTTGTGAGGGTATGTGATTGCCAAAGTTCTATTTGACATTTGTGTTTGATTAAGTATATTAATTTTGGTTTTTTCACTTCGTTTTCCATTCTGATCCGTAGAAATAAATAATCTAAGATTGTGATTTTTCTTTGTCAAAATATCACCAGAACATACCCGATTCATGCTTTTGTTACACAGTCCATTTAGTATTAACCTGAAGCTAGAAAATCATGTTATAAGAGGCCATGACATGTTCTCTTTTTGCCAGGCCACATTTCTAACCATATTTTTTACATTCATGACTCGAGCACGCAATGTCATGGTTGCTACTGGTTTAGTTGCTTTCGCTGCAGCTGGCTTGGCATTTCCCTTCTACATGGCGTAAGTCAATTGATATTGCAGTGGACTGTTCCGATCTGCATTCTTTTGCATGCACTGAAGTTAACGGTTCAACTGAACTTGAATTGCCCAGGTCGTCAAGGCAGCCTGTTATTGATCCATCAAAGCCGTTACCACCACAAGCAACATTTCGAGGCCCTTACATAAACACTGGTTCGCGTGACGTTGGGCCTGATCATCAAACTTATACAAAGAAATAAAGCAGTTTGTGAATGTTGCATTCTGAGTTAGTAAGTACACTAAACTTGTTTGTGCCTAGCGCTTCTGCAGTTTGATGAAGCCTGGACATGGCTCATTGCTCCACCCAGAACGCGTCTTGAATATGCCCGGGAAAATCACTTTCATGGTTACATATGGTTCTGGAGCGTGTTAGAATCAACCTTATTCTGAAGAAAAATGTTAGAATCAACTAGAAATGTGAAAGTTCCCCTTTGTAAGAGCTGATGAGAGAAAATTTCGACTGCAGCCAAATAATGGGAGTAAAATATAAATTACTGCACAATTCATTGCAATCAGTTTCGTGACTACATATGATGTTGGAGTGCGTTAGAATTCATAATCTTCCCAGGAAGAATGTTGGGATCAAGTAGAATGTGTTTCTTTCTATCTTTTTGGGAGAGCTGAAGAGTTTTTAATTTTGATCGCCTGCGAGTGGGAGTGAAATTTTGAATGGGATATCTATTCATATTCCGATCAATATATTCATACTACGCTTCGAATTCGAAGGCATTTGTGCGAGTTCTATCCATGGAGCTTGTGGCTTTGAGATCTGCTGTCAGTTGAAATTCTGACCGGCATCTTCATCCCAACGAATGAGCCAGTGCTAATAGCCATGCTAGTTTGGAACTGGGTGAAAAAAAGGTTTCAGTTGTTATATGCCTTTTTTTTTTTTTTCCCCTTTCTGCCAACGTGTTATATGCCCATTAGTATACATTATTAAAAAAATGAAAGAGACAAGCGAGCAAAATATGATTTTTATGTTTTTATTACAAAAATGAAAATAAAAAAGCCCTTAAATAATTCCAATAAAGGCATAACCAATATATTGATTATCTATTCCATAAAAATGGAGACTTGAATATCGGGCTAGATGCATCAACTTTTTTTTTTGGGGGCTACAGAGATGCATCAACTTGTTATTGTGCTTAGTTTAGTTGAGGGAAGACAATATATATCATGTTAATAATAATCTTATTATAATGTTAATGTTTCAATGTTGACGTTTGAATATGTGATTGGTTGTTTAGTAATTTGTTCTTTAAAAAAAAAAAGTAAACAGTGATAGATTATTATTTAAGATGTGTCTATAATATTCAAGGGGCCTAGGCTGCGCGGTGCTTCTGATTCAACCGCGGGTTTCTCAAAGCTCGTATATTTTCAGAAGGAAGCTAAACGGTGGTGTTTGCTTGAACATGAATATCTAGATAAGATTAAAAAAATTAATAATATTTACATTGGCACATTTTTTTGGCTGGCCATTTATGGTGAAACATTTAATCTTTATAATAATATAGGATTAATAATTCAATTAAAAATTTAAACTCTGAAATGTTTATATGATTCATGAAGTTTACAATAATTAAATAAAAATTTTGGTCAACAAATAATTAAACATAAATATCTTATTTAACTCTTAATTTTAAATGTAAATTTTTCCATAACGTGATAGCCCACAGGTCATGGGTTAAGTCAATACTATAGCCCACAGGTTGGGGCATTGCGTTAATTGATTGGATTATTGATGTACAATAGTTGGATAAGTTTCACTTGAACACATAAACACGATACCTTTTTTTGGCCGAGAGCTTTATGCTATTGCCACCTGGCAGCGAAATCTATAGCCATGTGTGGCATACTTGGCAGCAAAATAATCAACTCTGAATGCTCCTTAAACTTGTGGCCGGCCGAGCCGATTGCCGATTTTTCACACTGGAAATGCACATATTTGTCACCATCATTAACAAGTAGCGAACTTTGATTTTGATCAATACTTTCTGACACTTAAAAGAATTGGCCCAATTTCTTCGGTAATTACTCTCTCTCTGTCACCATGTTGTTAACTCTGCGAAGTGTTACTGGTTACCGCGGAAATAAAGCCAAAGCGTGAGGAGAAAACGGATTATAGAATGACAATAGCGATGAACTTCATTTTTGTCTGGAAAGAGCTCCAGACCCACCGCTATATAGGTAGAAACATTTCAGACTTGCACGCAAAGTTCTCAAGAGTTCCTACTTCTCTTGTATTCTCTTGTTCCATCTGAATCTTTTTCTCTCTCACACACACACCATAAATTTTCTGAGCTCTCCTTACAGTGAATTGCTCTTGAACTTCTCTTAAACCTCCGTCCATGGCTCTGTTACACCCTACCTCTGCCTTGGCTGCTATCGACACAGTGTTATCAACGAGAAGCAAAACTCTGAATTTTCCTCTTTATACCTATAGCAATATGCAATCTTTCACCAGAAAACATAGACCGAATGGACCCAGAAACCTGTCTTTACGCGTTGCTACGCCAACAAGCATTGAGCCTGAGCAATCAATTCCAGAAACAGAGAAGGATGAAACTGAGAATGAATTTAGTGACGAGAGCTCCTCTTCGAAAGTTTTCTTGGAGGGATCACTGGTACCCAGTTTCTTTAATTGAAGATCTGGACCCTCGATTGCCTACCCCATTTCAGCTTCTCGGTCGCGAGATCGTACTGTGGTATGACAAATCCAAATCCGAATGGGTGGCTTTCGACGACAAATGCCCCCATCGTCTTGCCCCTTATCAGTAATATACGCTCTCCTCTTTGTCCCTCTTTTACTACCCCTCGTTTAGTTAATTTTAATCTGAATTAATATTTTAGGTTTATAATATCGCTCTCTCAGAGAAGATCATGAAATTAATCGGTTTGATTTTTGTAGGAAGGACGGATTGATGAAGATGGCAACTTACAGTGCTCCTATCATGGCTGGTCCTTTGATGGATGTGGATCTTGTATTAGGATCCCTCAGGCGTCATCGGAAGGTCCTGAAGCTCGTGCTATTCGATCACCTAGAGCATGTGTCACAAAGTTCCCTACCATGGTGTCTCAGGGTCTCCTCTTTGTGTGGCCGGATGAGAATGGTTGGGAAAAAGCCGGCGCCGCTAAGCCCCCATTGTAATTGATTTAATATTTTATTGCTTTATTGAATTAAATACGCATTGAATTGTTTAAGTTCATTAAACCATGTGTGTTTGGACGGTTTGAGATATTGTCGGGTGTTTTTTTTTTTCACTGTTAAATAATGAATATTTAATTGATCTGCATGGCGTTATGGTTTTGCTTAGGTTGCCTAATGACTTCGAAAAACCAGAGTTTGCCACCGTGAACATTCAACGCGATCTGTTCTATGGCTATGATACTCTCATGGAGAATGTTTCCGACCCTTCTCACATTGATTTTGCTCATCACAAGGTAAGAACAATATCTCTGAACCTGAGAACTCGATTTAAAATACTATATTCTTAATTATTAGATATTTTATAGTTCATCACGTTGCCGGTGGAGCATTTCGAGCACAATAAAAGTCACTGGAGACAGTTTTTTTCATTAGATTTTGCTTCGTTCATTGACATATTCGGATGATCAGTAGCACGTAGCATATGAAGAATCTTTGAAGTTAATCTGGAGATGTAAGGAAAAACTTCTCTCCATGTATAACATTTTGATTGATCTCAGCAAAACTTATTCCTCACGCTACGTATGTTCCTTAACGATCCAACTAGTCTCCTGTGACAATTAAATTATGTTATAGGTTTTGCTGAATTTGGTTCGGTAGTTACTAAGTGCATACCAGTTTATGGGATCATTGCTTTTAGTACATGCCTAGGAGCCTTTGGAAACCTTCCGTTATTTATCTCCCAAGCTGGCACACCTGCTCGCTCTGTCTATGCATGGCCCTTGTTGTGGAAATGTTTCATCTCATTGCTTATGAAACATGACCAGCATGCTAGTACATCTAGTGTTAAATTAGGATAGCGCTTGAATATGCAGTTGTGGGAGTTGGATTTATTTTAGTTTGATAACTGTTACATTGCTAGCGCCAAATTAATTACAGGTGACAGGAAGGAGAGATAGGGCAAAGCCTTTACCATTCAAGTTGGAGGGTAGTGGTCCATGGGGCTTTGCTGGAGCTAACGATGGGAACCCACGAATCAGTTCGACATTTGTTGCCCCTTGTTATTATATGAACAAGTAAGCCTGAGGATTTAGTATTGAAAGCAAATTTTTCAGATGTTTCGTTTTATTTTTCCCATGTGCCTTCTTCATTATTGAGTGTATATAATATGATATGGAAGAATTTTGTACTGTTGAGTTCTGTTAATGTTTCAACGCTCTTCGCGTATCAAGTCATAAGCATCTTGACTCACATTCAAAACAAAAATGAGTATTTAGTATCAATCCATCCTTAATATGTGAATGAATTCTGTATTTAACTTAATCTAATACAATTCTGGAAATTTTTTTTTTGGCCTTTTCTTTTTACCTTCTGAAATTTCTTTGTACCTCTAGTATGGGGACAATATGAGGTGGATGAATTCCTGGATTAATTGTGTGCTTGTTCGAATTATGCCTGATTGTGTATTCATGGAGTTGGTAGACATATAATAGTGCAGTTGAAGGCAGGTGTGACTTGCTGTTTCTTGTTTCATGTGCTATCAAGATGACTTTCCAATAAGAATTACTTTATATGCTGGTATACTGTCATAGTTCTTTTTCCGCACGTCATTGTTTTTACATCTAAACCCACTTGTATTATTTTTGCAGAATAGAGATTAATAACAAGCTTCCAATAGTTGGTGACCAAAGATGGGTAATATGGATATGTTCTTTCAATGTCCCCATGGCACCTGGCAAGACTCGCTCCATTGTTTGCAGTGCCCGAAACTTTTTCCAGTTCACAGTGCCCGGACCTGCATGGTGGCAAGTAAGAAGTCCATGTTCAGGGCTGTCATTTTGTTTTCTTTGATTAAGGCTCCGGAGCTTCTTAACCTGGGCATTTACTTATGCCTTATGAATGTCTCAGGTGGTTCCTAGATGGTATGAACATTGGACCTCAAACAAGGTGTATGATGGAGACATGATTGTTCTTCAAGGCCAAGAAAAAATATTTCTTGCGGAGACCAGTGATGGGTCCGGTGATGTTAACAAGGAGTACACAAAGCTCACCTTCACACCAACACAGGCAGATCGCTTTGTCTTGGCATTTCGAAATTGGCTAAGGCGACATGGAAATAGCCAGCCTGAATGGTTCGGCCTGAGCAGCCAGCAGCCGTTACCATCAACAGTTCTAACAAAACGGCAGGTATGAATACTTGAACTTGCTCTATTTGAAATTGCATCACCTCTTTCCACAAACCAAGAATAAAATCCTTTTTGAACAAAACAATTGTTGGTTCCTCTTAAAAGCGCACACAGATGTGCTTCTTATGAATTGATTGGCTCAGTTGCTCCTTGATTTTTACTGTACTACACCCATACCCCCATGTCAAAGTCCAAGATGAAGAAGTCTCTGTTTGGTTTGAGAATCAATCGCATCCTGAATAAAGCATTGTTGTTCTGCAGATGTTGGATAGATTTGAACAGCACACTCTCAAGTGTTCTTCATGTAAAGGAGCTTATACAGCATTCCAGACGTTGCAGAAGATTCTGATCGGTGCAACAGTTGTTTTTGGTGCAACGTCGGGGATCCCTTCAGAGACATATCTCCGGATAGTTCTGGCCGGACTTGCAGTCGCTAGCGCTGGCTTGGCCTTTGCCTTAAACGAACTCCAAAAGAATTTTGTATTTGTTGATTACGTGCATGCTGATATTGATTAGAATTTAGACAGTAGACACGCCTCATAGCCCTTGTAGGAATCCTGGCGAATCAAAGCCTTTGCAAATGGCTGGCTGTAAACAAAGTTTAAAGCTCAACAAACAAATGTAAAACTGAGATATATATTCACACTTTTGTGTGTGTATATACAGATGAACACAGCAAAATCTTAATCACCGACATTTTTCTTTTCTTTCTGGCAAAGACTGGAAAGGTTTCAAGTACCCTTGTCAAGAAGCATAGCTATAAATTAAAGTTCCGTGAGGCTGTTATATGAATTTTTTCCACTTGTAAACACATGCGTAGGTGCATAAAGCCTCTCGATGCTAAAGGCGTGATCACGGAACTCAGAACGTTTCATGATAAATAATGCAACCTCTTTTATCTTCCCCATATTGCGGCCCTTTCTTCTATTTTTAAAATATGTCCTCATCAATTTTTTAAACAAAATCAGTCCATTAAATTAAATACTTCCTGCTGGTCCTTTGTATAATTTATTTTTTAGAAAAGTTTGATGGTTCAAATGCTTTGTAAGATTTAGCGGAATATTAATTGTTTTATTTCGAAAATATCTTTATTGTCAATTTTTAGTGAAGAAACAAAAAGAGTATATGCTGTTCAAATTCATGATATTTATAAAGAATAAAGACGAAAGTCAAAGCGAATTATATACATTGTTAATGAAAATTATTAACTTTTTTATGAAGTAGTTAAAAATGATTTATATTAATAATTTATATATACTATCAATATTCATCCGCATAACTTATGATGATAAAAGAGGGAAAATCTATCTGGCCAGAAAAAAAAAAAAGAGGGACAATCTAGAGAACCGTGTTGGCGTGCAATTCGGCGTAAATGAAGGGCGTCATATACAAATAATACTTGAATATTAATTAACTTTTAATTATCATTTATTTGTTATAAATAGGCTTAACACTATGCTTGGTACCAGGTTTTTAGAGGGGAGGGGAGGGAAGTTGCTCCCTTCCTCTTGTTTGGCTCGTGCAATTTTTTAAGAAGAGAGGAGAAAAACTCCCCTTCTTTTGTTTGGTTAAAATATTTTTTAAAGAGAGAAAGGATTCTTCTCCCCTTCTCTTCTCTTCTAGCTTCTCTCTAAAATTAGGGTCTTTTTAGAGGAGAGATAAGAGATAATATTTTAATTTCTTATATACTTTTTTGATTTGTTAACCCCTAATTAGTCGTAAATATTTCTGCATAAGAAAGTTCTCTTGAACATTTAGCAAGAGGTTGTTGAGATAATTGTCTCCAAAATTAGTGAGTATTTGTAAACCCTTTTTTTTCTCTCTCTTCTTTTAATTCTAAGAGGCCGTCGGTATTTTCTTTCTTTCACTGTCAAAGTTTTTTCTCTTATTGAAATCTATCACTCACGACTTTTTATCTTGATATCCTATAACTGTGTGATTGTGTCTTGCAAATCAATATTAGTGAATTGCATTATATATAGTCTTTACAAAATAAAAAAGTAAGAAAATTCATTCAAATTTTATGAGGTTAAAATAATCAATTTTTTATTAAAACAAAATAGGGTATTATTAAAATTGTTCCCTTTTCTCCCTATCAATCAATCTAAATAGAAGATTATTAAAATCCCTCTCCCTCTCTTCCCTCTCCCTCTCCTCCCCTCCCTTTTGTAGCTTTCCTCCCCTCCTTTTTCCTTGATAAAAATCCCTTTCATTCACTTTCTTCCGTCGAGCCAAACGCAGTGTAAGGATGGTAGTATATATTAAACTGGGAGAAGAGTGTACTTGAGCCACAGAAGCTAGTGGGGCCTAATTAGTTGACGAAAATTTGCAATCAAGCCTAATCAGTAGCTATTGCGTGAATATTATGTTTGTGGTGTCATTTGTGAATGCATGAATCGTGCACGTTCGTCAGTGACGCATTATGGCCCCACGTTGCACATTAAAGTAATTAATTTCTGTAGGCATGCAAAGTAGGCCCTATCATGCGTCAATTCTGTAGGCATGCCTGCACTTTCCTCGACTCAGATTACGAGAAATTCTTGCGTGTTCCCGGAGCACCAAATCATTTATACTTTGGCTAATCAAAATATGCCACATCAATAAATTTAATCTGACATGCAAGCTTATTTGTCATTTTTTAAAAGTTTAGTTTCTATTTTTTCACCCGCTTCTCTCTCCACCTCCATCATCTTTTTCTCTTCGTCCTTTTTTCAAATTCTCTGTCCTTCTTAACTTTTTTCCTCCGACTCCATTCCTACCCACCAGATGCAGAGCGGCCTTCTTTCATCTTTCCTTTCCTCCTTTCGCCCAACAGAAAATAAAAATAACAAACCACACATAAATTTCAGAATGTAGAGAAGATCAATTTTTTCCTCATGATTTTAGATCTGAAATAGGAACCAATCAGATTCAAGAACTTGAAAGAGGGAAAAGGAGGATCGGAGGAGATAGGGCAGGGGGAGTGACGGTGGGAGGAGTTGGAGGGTGAAATGTAGGTGACGCAGAGGTAGGGGAGGGAGGCAAGATAAGAGAGGATGAATAAAGAGTGAGGGAGATGAAGAAATAGAACCAGAAAAACGCAGCAAAGAGGAAAAAGTAAAAGAAAGAGAAAGTTAGAGAAAAAAGATGAAGAGAAGGGTTACGATTAAGGAGAGAGAAGCGATGGAAGAAGATGGGTGTAGGTTTTTTTAAAAAAATGACAGATAAGATAACACATCAGATTAGACTTATTGATATGGTGTATTTTGATTGGTTAGAGTATAAATGATTTGGTGCTCTCGGAGCACGCAAGAATTCCTCCTCAGTTACTACGATCTGGTTTTCAAGCATATTCCTTAGACCAGGGCGTGCTGGACAAAGAAAAGCCAGATGCGTAACACCTCACATAATTATATCAATATACGTAATAAAATATTTAATTTAAAAGTCTATACATATTTCTAATACTTCAAACAATTCATAATTTCAAAATATTTCTAACATAACAACAAAATAAACTATTAAAATCTTATATTCATGGCAAATAAAAATATAACATAGCATGGGTTGAGGAGTACAAAAGCCTTCACGGCTCACTCCATTGATGCCTTTCCTTGATTCCTACTAGATCTTTCGCCTGAAAATTGTTAAGATAGGGGATGAGATCAAACGTCTCAGTAACTACTGAAATTCTAACCTATATAAGCAAACCATATATGATAAACCAAAAATCTATTTATAGGTCTGTATATATGTATATATTAAAAATCACAGATTTGATACATTCAATTCAATTTTATTTATTTTTCAATATATCCAAAAATAATGCAATATGCTGCCTCCCTTATATCACCGTCCACCCTTATACCGCTGATTAGAGCCATAGGCTAACACATAGTCTGATAGGAACTAATCCATTTTACTGAATTATTCTAAGCTCACCGATACAAGAGATATATCCGGCCAAAGATATAGAGCTCAAGCTCGGACTATGGCTCCTCTCCTTTGTGGATAGGGAGGTGTCACATGTCCCACAGCTCCAATGAATTCCCGGCTAAAGGAAAACATGGAAGAATGGGCCCTGACAAGTGCCATCCACTGTGCACCGAGTGATGGCATACCACGTGATAATTTTATATCCATGCAATCTCCTTCTATCCTTAGCCCAACAATGCATGTCAGATGCCAATAATGTTATATTATAAATACGTCCTCAAATATTTTAAAGATAAGATAGCAATAAAACTTATATACTATTTAATAGCAACTCATGACAATTCCTTAGCCATCAATATATTTAAACATTGATCATAATTAATAGCAATAAATCTTAATAAAATCAAATAACATATCAAAACATTTATTTGAAATCATAATACTACTTTTCAGTATGATATAAAAATTAGTAAATCTATAATATAATCATACACAATTCACATGTACAAGAAAGAATTTTCAGAGTTACCTGATACTCTTTAGCTTACAAATATTCACATAAAGATTACTCCAAAATCCTCAAGTCTACAAAATTACACATAAATATTTATTAATATAAACTCAAAACTACTCCAAAACTACTCTAAAATTCTAAGACTACCCTCTAAACCAAAATTACATAAATATATTAACTCTCCCAAATCTAGGCATTTATAATAGATATTATTTTGAAAAATAATTTACATATAAGGCTATTTAAATTTAACAAAAGTGTATATATATATTTTTTTATTACCCAAAATCTAAATATTTTATATTAAAATTCTCAATTATTTATTATAATCTCATTTAAAATTTTTCTTCAAACCAAACAGCTTCTTTTTAAATTATAAACAAATTGTAGCTTTATCTAATTTCACAAAATTCTCAATTTATAATTTTTCAAGCCTTCAAAAAATATTTCAAAAATATATCTTTAACTTATTCCATATTTAAACCGATTAAAACCTCAATAATATATTAAATAATTCAAATAAATTATTTAACTCAAATTTAATTGGTAAAAACATATTACAAGTCTAAATAACAAATTTTTCAACTAAAATCTTAGTTTAAAATTCTCAAAATAATCATTCAACAAAAATAAACTGATTAAAATTTCTTAATAATGGATCTTTAAATTTCTACATTCATATATTGTCAAAACTCCATATTTACTCCATACCCAAACAGTAAAATTTTCTCTAAACATTATAATGATACTAATAATATAAAGCTATAAATATATAGAAAATATTCATAAAGGAAATTTGATAGAAAGAAGTAGTTGTGTACCTAAATAATCTCCAAATTTTGTCAGGTGCTCTGCAACTTAGCTTTCTCTCTCTCTTCCTCTATGCTTCTCACTCTCTTCTCTCTTTCTTCGCTCTCTCTTCCTCTTCCGTCCCTTCTCCCCTTCTTTTAAACTCACTCCTCCCAACTTCCAACTATCCCTCTTCCCGTTTTCTTCATTCATTTATTGTTTTCCCAAATTCTTCCTTCATCCGTTCCTTTCTTTCTTTTTCTTGCTCCATTTAATACTCCTCCCTTCTTTTCAACTTACACCACTCCCTCCCCCATCTTTTCCCTTCTTAATAAATCTCCCTCCCTAATTTTCAACTCTCCATGGAAAAGGGGGTTGGCTTTTTTTTTTTACTAATAAAATATTATATATATTTTGATTTTCAATTTTTTTTTTAAATAGTATGTTACACCTCTTGGGCTTTTTCTCACAGTACATACTTACATAGTGTTCAACATCAACACTTGTCAGTTACTAGTCTTTAATTTTCCTAATCAATGATACTAAACTAGTGTTAAATTTACAACTTGCTAGCCTTCCCGACCTTCCACCACTGAGGATTAGAAATTCTAAATACTGTGTTTTGGTTGTTTTTAATATGGTTGTCGGGGTTAATTAATATGATGTTCTTGGTAGTCAAGTTTAATATTATTTGCTTCTAAATAAATAATCAGCAAAGATGAATAGAATTATAAGCCGTTGAAGTCTTGCCTTGCTGACCTTTGCTCCTTTATAGCTTTCTTCTGTATCCTACAGTTTGCCTAGTTACCAATTAACTCGAAAACCTTTTTCGTTAACTTCGAGCAGGAAAACAAATAGTTGATTCTAAGCTCTTCGTAATCTTGAAAATGGCAATGTAAGTGCAGGTCTTACAATGACTGTAAACGAAGAATGCAGAGAAAATTACGTGCAATGATAGGGTTGTGCAGGTTGAAGACTATAGCTGAAGAATGCCAAGAAAGGGAGCAATGAAAAGAATTGCTAGAAGGGATTCAACAACAAAAATCTGTCGAGACGTGTGTCAGCATGGTCCAACAAATGTAATTTATGTTTATTAGTGGTATATGATCACTTAGTAGAGCATTAGAGCTGATATTTCACGTGATTGTTCCGAGAGTTAAGGACATTCTCTTGTACATGGTCTCAAGCCATTGAAGATTCAACAAACTCATTGCCATTTAAGCTTTCTTCCAATCATATCTTATATTACTACTGATCTTTAATATAAGAGTTAGTTGTGAGTAGATTAAGAAAATTAGTTAAGTTAATTATTTGTAATAAATAAGTGTTATTTTTTCTAAAATATCCTTGTCAATCAAGTGTATCGGTTAGAATTATCATTACTACAATGAGTATTTTGAGGAAAAAAATGAATAAATATGAGAGACAAAGTAGACTAGGATTTTATATTTATAATCAAAATAAAAGTCAAACAAGACTAGCCTATTAGGAGGGAGAGCTTCTTAAACTTATAAATTCCACAATATTTGTGAGATTCCTCAATGTGGGACTCATAATAGAGAACTCCCCTCGAGAGCCAACGTCCCCGGCGGCTTTACTTTATAGCGCTTCACTCGGAGAGCCCAATCTCAAAAGACTAGCGTATTAGGAGGGAGAACACATTGAACTTATAAACCCCACAAAACTTAGATCTCATTTAGTGTGAAGTAATGAAAATGAGGGATAAGGATTGAGATTAAAATTGAGAAAATCTATTAAAAGAGAGTTTAGAATGGGATATTACTTGATACATGAGATTAGACAAACTCATAAATGTGAGATTGAGAAATACCATTTTGTTTAATCCCATATATCAAGTAATTATTAATGTTAAATACTTTTTATTGATTTTTTTTAATTGCAATCCTAATCCCTATCCTTTATTTTTAATACTTTATACCAAACGAGACCTTAGATTCTCCAATGAGGGATTCATAACAGAGTATATTTCAGTTTACCTCTGTAGTTAACTGTTCTTGGGGGGAAAAAAAACTGTATTAAAATTACAAGATGCTACAAAGTTCAAATTCCTATCCTGTCTCATGGCTCACAGTTAGATAACTTAAAAGTCGAATCACAAGACAATTTTGAGCTTTCATATATAGAACTGCACGTGGTTAACTATGTAATATGCAGTTTTTATTTATCCAAAATCCAACACTCTAGTATATATCAAACATATGATCTTGCACTACCGCCATCTTCCTGCATTTGCAATGCCTGCTGCTCGACCAATTTTCCAGAATAGGACAAGCCACTGACAGCTGGAGCATGCCCGGCGAACAAAGCAACATGGCCCATGAGCTTGTCTTTCCTTGAAAACGTTGTACCACACGAACACTGCCACTTGAGATCCCCACAGTGCTTCTCATGTGTTCTCAGATCAGACAGCACTGAGAAATGCTTCAAATTGCACCTTTTGCACACGTACATCTTCGGACAATGACTTCTCTTGTAATGATTCTTCACACATATCATTGACTTCAACGGTTGAAACTTGGCATGCTTCTGATTCCACCTACATCCTTCCTGCGGACATGAGTATTTCTTAGGCCTGAACGTGCTCATCGAACATTCTTTGTCTCTATTCTTCATCGGGTTGCTCAAGGCGGCACTTGTCTTGTACTCATCCCCATGAGCTCTCATATGCATCCTCAAATTCGCATCTCGTTTAAACCCTTTCCCGCAAATTTGACAGTAATGTGTGTACTTGGCCAGCAAATCAGCAGCATCCAATTCGATTATGTCCTCGTTCTTTGGTTCATCCGTCTCATCCCTTTGAGACAATTCTCTCTTCGTTTCACTAAGCCCAGCACTCGGATCATCATCCTTGAGATTATTAACGCAGTTATTGTTGTTATCATAGCTTTCACCACCGAACCAGTTCAAGGTTTGATCATCAGGACTAGAGAAGATACCTTGCTCTCTGTGTGGAGCTATGTTATTCGTATTATTACTACTGTGCATACTTGTATAATGGCCAAAGTTGGATTCAGTGCAATGGGTACCTGGTGGTGGAGAGAAACTAAGGAACATGTGTTGGCACGTGAGCACCATGGAGGAGGCAGTGACAATGAATTCCTGGATGATAGAATTCATACTGGCTAAGGTTGTACAGGTAGAGTCTGGTAAGGTCTGATCCGAGGAAATAAGAATACCCGCGAGTGTCTGGACATGAGTGAGCCTGTCTTTGAGGAGGGAGAGATTGAACATGAGCGAGGTTGATTGAGAGGGAGCTGATTCAACAGAGGGTGAAACCAGATTAACAGCAGCAGCAGCAGGAAATATATTGTGCAGGCCTTGAGAGAGATCTGGGAAACCGGAAGCTGTGGCCCTTGAAATCATTTTTTGATGATCGATCTCTCACTTGAATTTCAGATATTTCTGAGGAGATGTGAGCTGTGACTGAATTTGGGTTCTGGAGTACAAAGAGAGGCATGAGAGACGATTCTCCAATATTTATAAGAAAGATTAAAACTATTGGGTAATATAAATAGACACGCAGGGATACAACAATAAGTCAACTATGTGAGCTAACAGGAGATATAATCCTTCCCCAGTTCCAACCTCCCCTGCATGTAACCAAAAGAAAAGAATATGAAAAAGAAAATTATTGCAAACTGAAAGGGTTAATTTAAATATGTTGACCGTGGCTTCATTGGACGACCAATCACACGTTGAGTGTTTTAAATTGATTTCGTCTTCTTGTCCACTTCTTCTTCTCTCCTGTTCATAGAGAATTCATTTTTGCCTTTAAAACTCAATAGTCAGTTCATTGGCAAGGTTTGAAATGTTCAGAAATATGATGGCGTCATCGTAGCTTGCCCTTCAGAGAAACTCTGGAATTTACAATATGCAAAAACAACCCAAACTTATTAAAAAGGCGGCTTGCGCAGCCAGAAAGCACACTATGGATACGGAGTATGGTGGCGGTGCGATAATAATATTCAAAATCTCTTACCACGTAGTATGAGGACTCTTAACTAACATAACTGTAATATATTTATGGAGAGAAAGGAAGCATTTGAGGTGGTCTTTTCGTGGAGCTTGAATATGAGTTTTGCTCAAAGACATTACATAACAAATATTAAGATGAGCATTATTTATTTGTTTTTGATAACAGGTGTGCATGAATCTTTTATTAAAACGTGTAATTTTTTTTGTGAGAGTGAGGTGTAATGTGAGAGAGAGAGAGAGAGAGAGAGAGATGAATTGAGAATAGCATAATTAATGTTATAATCCCTCACCTTCTGTTTGATCGATGTGAAAAGAACACATAGATGAGAACGTCGATTAATATTGAAATGAATTTTATATTAATTAAGGACTGAATTATGGATTATTATATAGTAATTGTGAAGGGCCTCAGCATGCATTCAGATGTCAGCCTCTTGATCGATACCTTTCTCCTAAAAGAGTCCAAATCAATTGCATCTTCCCATAGGCAGTGCATTTTTCTCCCTTCAACGCGTTAAATCAGCGACATCTAGTTTGTTTACCCTTGTTGATTACTAATTGGTTATTTATTTTGACTGGTTTGTTTGTTCTTGTTAAAACTTGCTAATTTAGAATAAATTTTTCATACCGGCTAGCAAATTCAGAATTGCACATCCGGCGTCTCATTAAAATATTAAAACAATTTTTTAGACATGAAATATCATAAATATTTGAAAATTATTACCTCCGGTCCTTAATATAAGACCCTGTTTAACTTTTATTTTGATTCTAATTATAAGACCTCAATTCGTTTTGTCTCTCATATTTATGTATTTTTTTTCAAGGTAGTCTCTTTAATAATGACAATTCTAACCAATAAACTTAATTAGTAAGGATATTTTAAGAAAGACAACACTCATTTATTACAAATAACTAACTTATTTTATTTTCTTAATCTCCTCAAACTAGTCAACTAGCTCTTATAATTAGGACCGGAGATAATATATCATTTACATCTTTACTCATATTCCATTAGCCCTAATCTTGTTACGTAAATCTTAGGAAAAAAAAGACTTCCTTCATAAAGCAGACTTTGGACGAAGCTTGACCTTTCAATACAATTTTAAAATCATCCTTCACGTGCTCCGTGGCTCTCTATGAATAAAAAATTCCCTTACGACCAAATAACCACTGTGATTTATCAAAACCAACAGCGATTAGAAATAAATTTATAAAACATTGATTTTTTGAATAAATATATGAGCTAAATATAAAGTTAATACTAATACTTTGGGCCAAAACAAACGTAAGCTTTACTTTTAATAATATTTTTAATCCTTTTATCCGAAAAAAACCTCTCGTCCTCTCACTGTTATTAATTCCTTATTAACGAGCTTTATGGGTTTGCCACAAAAAAATAATAATAATAATAACAACAACAACAAACTTTATGTGAACGACCCACAATGACAATGTCGTTGCCGTCGGTGAGGAGTTGAATAAACGACATGTCGCCAATCCGGCCGGGCGCACGGGAGTAAAGATAAGACTAAAGCGCGAAGAGAGGGAGACACGCAGCAAGTTGAGCTTTGGGTGCAGCGGACTGCAATGGCATCCGTGGTGTCTAATCTCTCGTGGAGTTCTTCGTCTCTGCTGCAGAGCATTGGTGAAAGATTGAATGAAGGCACTAACTTGCCCAACAATAAGAGGGTCTTTGTGGTTTTTGCTCAAAAGAAGACGAAGAAAACTCGAAAGGTAGTGGGGTTATTGTACAGGATAATTTGGACTACCATCTATGTTTTCGAAGTTTTTAATTACCTTATTTGGTTACTTTTGAAACCGTAAGGGGAAAAATAAAAGCTCTGTCTTCCATTGAAGTAGGAGAGGAGGGGAACGCAAGCTAGGCAGTCGCTTTTGTTCCTGATTATTGTTAATTCCTGTGTAGCCTAGTCTGAGTTCTTTGACTAATTATTGCACTTAACTTCCCACATTATGATGGGCTGTTGCTGCTGCTTCCATCTTGCTCTTTTACCGTGAGGTCAGATTATCCTGAAGGAAGACATTCCTGATCTTGGAAAGAAAGGGCAACTTCTTGACGTGAGGGCTGGTTTTTTCAGAAATTATCTGCTTCCCATGGGAAAGGCCCAGATTGTCACTCCTTTGCTGCTCAAGTAATGTCTTATCAAACCCTGCTTGACCTACAAGTGACCTATTTTAACAACATCATTTATCTTCTTAAGTATTTTACAGCCTCACTTATTCTTGTCAATTTGCCTTTTAAAATATAAAATAAAATTCAGTGGATATAGAACGTTCTCGGATAGTCCCTTGTAATTCCAACAATAGGATCAAGTAGAAATTTTTAGGAAATATAACTATGCTCACTATCTCGCAGACAAGGGAATCTGTCGTAGACAGTTTATGTGCTTAGTACAAGGTATTGTATGTTCCAAATCAATAGGAATCTAGTTTTTGACTCCAATTTAGCCTCTGTTTGCTTTTTACTGAGTTTGTAATTTCCTAGTAATAGACTACGGCCTATCAAATAAAAATACCAACATTTTATCGTCTCTTGCACTCGTCTTGGCTTCCCTCTTTCAGTTTTTTTCCCTTTACCTCTAATTTTGTAACAGTACAGCTAAAGGGGAAAACTGAAACATGGAAGCATAATATCATAAACTATGGCAATAGGTTCTGGAGTGGTACTGTTGTGCAGCCTATCATAAGATTCGTTTCTTACAACAAGGTTCATTGCTAACAATAAGTACATTTGGTCAATATTGACTTATCCAATAGTTACTCTTTTATAATGAAAAACCATGTATTCAGTTTAATCGTACGAGCTGCAACTCTTAAACTGTATTCAGCATGTTGCACACACCAAGTACTTTTCTCAGCTTCACAAATTAAGCCTATGTAAGGATCTTGGTGAATTATTCATAATTCATGAATAGTGAATATTATTACTGACTCTGTATGATGCACAGGGAAACTTGTCTAGTTTATTTATATTACATCAACGCGGCTTTAATGTTACGGTTGAGCTTATGTTTGTTTCCATAAAATAGTGTCGGACATTGGAACTTCTGCAATATACATTCATTGAGACGTGGGATTGTACTTGTGCCCTTTTGCTGAAAATAGCTACATTTCTTGTTTTATGAATAGTTGATACTTCTTAATTAAAAAGTAACAATCCAACCGTTTCTGCTTGACAAGTCTTATAGGCAAGTTATGGTGACTGACTAATTAAATTTCCAGTCAGCCTTATCTGAATGCAACGTATCTTTCATGGTTGGATTTTTCTGTGTAATGAATGATGTAATCAGTGTTTAAAAATGAAGGCAGTAAAGCATTGTCTACAACGGTTTTGGGATAATTTGACCTTGAATGGTCTTATATCTCATTTTAATTAATTTCTCTCCCCAGGGAAATGAAGATGGAGGAGGAAAGAATTGAGGCTGAGAAAAGACGGGTAATTTGTCCTATTCCTCATATTACTATTTAGCAGAACATTTTGTGGTTGTACACTGCAAAGCTTGCTGTTATTGACTGGAGTAGGAGGTAATCAATGCTATGCTATTAAGTTTTACGTAGAACAGTTTCATCGAGGCTGAAACTGAGTTTCACATGACAGATTGCTAAACATGAAATTTCTTCATCATCATCCTTCCTATTGTCTTTTTATTTTTGGTCTGATGTTTGAGCAATACGTTTTATTTTCTTTTTAAAGTTTGTACCATGGTTGTTTCTCCAACTTCGTTTTCATAGATGCTAGACTTATCTAAGCTCATTGTTCTCCAGGTAAAAGAAGAGGCACAGCAACTTGCTCTTATTTTTGAAACAGTCGGAGCTTTTAAGGTGAAGCGTAAAGGTGGTAAAGGAAAACAAATTTTTGGAAGGTGAGCTCTGACCAGTTCCATTCTAAGCAGTTAACTTATGCCCTTAAATTCAAATCTACTTTGATTTGACAATCGTGGATTTTTTTTCTTTTTCCATTCTTAGTGTTACAGCTCAAGATCTTGTTGATATAATCAAGGCACAGCTTCAGAGGTACGATAGTCTTCTCAATATATACAGCTCCTTTTGAAAATTTTGCACAAATTATCTGAAAACTTTTTTTTTTGGGGGGGGGGGGTTTGGTTTTCAAAACTGAATGTGCCTGTTGTTTTGTTAGCGACTCCATTGCCTTCAAGTGACAGCACTTGAGCAAATATGACTGGCCATATGCTAAACGGTCATCCTCGTTCTCGAGATTTATTGTTGAGGGTAGTTGATGATTCTATGTTCCCTACTTCATCTGTCTTGATCTTGTAGTAGATGGCGCTTGAGTATATTTTTCTTTGGTAATATGAATTGATCTTCATGTTTTGTTTTCTGTTTATAATTCATTCCTTTTTCATTTTATGTTGTCAACTTTTCAGGGAGGTGGACAAGAAAATTGTTTCTCTTCCAGAGATCCGGGAAACAGGAGAGTATATTGCAGAGTTAAAGCTACATCCTGAAGTTACAGCTAGAGTTCGGTTGAACGTTTTTGCTAACTAAGCACAGCCTGTTCTGAAATTTCGTCTGCTGGTGCAAGCTTCCTGCTTCAGCCTAAGGTACTAACTATCCGACTTAACACCTCTGAGTGCCACTTATAAGTGATTAACTCTCATGAACATGGTTCCAGTATTGGAATGATTGGTGCATGGAAATGAACAAGTAGTTTGTTTGAGTGGAGGAAAATCTCCTCAGCTAGTTCTTATTGTGTTAATTGAAGGTTATGTTGAGCTGCAGTCCATGCAATGAAAATCGAAATATACGTCGGAGTCCAATAATTTGTTTATTGCGGCGTTTCATGCAGATTCTGATTGATTTGGATGCTCATATTGGAAGGCTACAAATTTGCTGAAACTGACTGATTAAGCTCGTATATTCTAGCAGCGGTTGTTTATTGTTTTTCATGTAAATTTTTTTTTGTGGGTCCTGTGAAACAATTTCATTTTGTAGAGTTTTAAATGAAAAGATGCAATTAAAGATATTGCGAGCACACAGAAGAGAAACGTGACAGAGCAGAGCAGGACATCTTGTCCTAGTCTTGAAATAAATGAAGCAAACTTAAGGAGGCAATGACAAATAGTGAATAAGGCGAAAGTATAAGATTGACACATAACAAATGACCAATCTAAATGTCAGATGTAGTTTTCTTAGGTCGGTCACTGGTCTGACTCCGACCAACGCCCGAAAGCAAAGGGAAGGGGGAAGAAGAAAATTTAGAAGGCGGTTTCCAGGTCTTAACGCCCAGTTATTGATTGGTCCCTCCGTACCATTGGGTGTTAAATGACTTGATTCAGCAAAGTTTACTTCTGGTTAAAGTATTCTCTGGAACAATAATGCAAATAGTGTTTACAATTTAGCGTTCAACATGTGATAATCAATTCGTGTGACGATCAACTAATTATTTGGTGCGCATCTTTTGCATAATTAATAGGAACTCAGGTTCATTAACGGATAATAAAATTTAAAAGAAATTATACTGTTTGCGAATGATAATGTTGTTCATCCTTAAGATTTAAGTAAACGTGGCCAGTTTAAACCAACAAATCCATTACTGGCTGAAGCAACAATTTAGTTATACGCTTATCTCTTTTTCCCACTGACCAGCCAAAGGAAGATTCCATGACGGGATATAAATATCCTTTTATTTTCTGCTGAGTTATTTTGGGTGGCTTAAAGCCAGACCCTCTGTACCCGACTACAAAGGACTAGGGTGACAAAACCAAGTTACCCACGGGTGTAAAATTGGATATATCGGGGGAGAACATTGTGATTTGCTGATTGGCTTCAGGAGGACAGATCTATCTTGAAAAAGCATGGGCAAATGTTACAAATAGCACCACGTTATTGTCAGGTCATGCACCAGTTTAAACAATACTGCCATGTGTTGATGTAATATAATCCAATATGTGGCCTATCCAATATCTGTTAGCACCGTATTTGCCATGGAGAAGCCAACCAAACCCAAAGCAGTGAAGTAGATTTTAGGTAGCCATACTTCACAAAAGTAAGAACCACCACTCAAGGGATGAAAATGAGCGACCCACATTAATTGATCCGCCATCGCATACCAAACCCGTAATAGATAAGGTTAGGTTCTGCTTAATTTGGAGCCGAACTCTGCGGATCTATAGAAGGATTAGCAATTCTTTGGTGGGATCGAAATTTGTTCAACACCATTTGCCCAAATAGAAAGGCTGGCCAATGCCTACTTTTGTTTTATGGGTCATAATTCATGAAAAAAACTGATGCAGATGGCTTGCAGATATAAACAGGACAAAGAAGCCACATAGTAAACCAACTCATGCATATCTGAGGCATTTGTCCTTATCAACAAAACGTGACCGGTTTTATCACTACAGACTCCCAAGCAAAAAAATTAGGATAACAACTACATGCTCTGTGTTTATTTGCTTGTGTGGTTTCCCTTCATCAGTAATTAAAACTAAAGGCCATTCGTACGGCCCTTCCAGCTGTTGGGTTTGAAAATTACGCCATAGCCTCTAATCTAATCTACTTTGTCTTGTTTCTGGTTAAGTAATATAATCCCTCAATATCTAACTCAAACCTTCTTCTTCCTTTTCCTCAAAAGGATTCTCCCATCTCGGCATCCCATATGCCCTTGTCTCTTCGCTCATCGTTAATGTGGTCTCTTAGGCCATTTGGACCCGACAAAGCTTGTTTTTAAGTTCCCCACCCTGCCTCTTGGTTCTGCCTTCTTTTTGATTTATTGATGAATTAAGTGTCATCTATACTGCGGCAAAAAGCCTGATCAATAATTTATAAGTTGTACCTTGTTTTTATTTGGAAGGTCACAAAAATCTTCAATTTGGCATTGGTGCAGAGTCCGAGCCTCTTTCATCGATGCGCCAATAACTTTCCTTAATGAATTTAGTTCCTCTGTTGTTAGATGACGTAAATTTAACAGAGTAATTGAGATGGACTGGCCTAACAGAACCCTTTACATGTCGTCGTTAAAGAAATGAAATGATTATATCCCGTACCAAAAAGAGTTTCTTTTTTTTTTTAAAAATCAAAATAAAATAAAACACCGGCAAACTTCATGGACTATTATATTGCGCAAAATACATTAGGTATTTTGGTGCTCTTTTTCATCGTTCAACATTATGCATGGCAAGTTAATCACATAATAATCAATATAAGAATCCTATTAAATCAGGCGGGCAATTCGGTTGAATTTATGTTAATTTAATAAACAACTGAAC